GATCCTATGATACAGAATGTAATATTAAATCTGTAGTTTAAGCCGGTTTTAAACTAGGCAAATATATTCGCGCGAATCAGAAGCGTTGGTTCACTTCCTGAGTTCTGGTTGGTTTTGCATTTTCCCCTTTGCAAAAAGTTGAAACAGTTCGAACTACTGATTTCACTGAAGCGAAAAACTCTGATAGAGATGTGAGTGTGCGAATAAACCAATGGTTCATTCATGGTTGAATAAATTTGCCTAGAGTGTAAAAACCAGCTTAAAGCATGTCTTTAGCCCTGTCCACATTATCACATTTTATTTGATAAAACATGTGACATGCCTAAATATGGTCATGATGACATCACATCAGGACCATATATAGGCACATCATGACTATATATAGGCACATCATGACCATATATGGGTACATCATGACTATATAGAGGCACATCATGCCTGTATATGGGCACATCATGACTATATATGGCCACATCATGACTATATATGGGTACATCATGACTGTATATGGGCACATCATGACTATATGTAAGCACATCATGACCACATATCGTCGCTCACATCACGAACTAACACAATCAAAGTAGATTGTGTTAGTTCGTGAAATCACAGTAGCGCGTCAAAACGAGCGCGTATTGGTTGTCAAGCAATTTTGTTGTTCTTTACCACACAAAAAGTCCTTAACAACAACAGCGCGTATTTTGACGCGCTTTTTTGATTTCACGAACTAACACAATTGAATTTAATTGTGTTAGTTCGTGATGTGAGCGACGATATGGGCACATCATGACTATAAGGGCAAACAAAGAAAATTTGTAATTTGCTTTAGTGTAATGCTCTGTCCAGACTATCAAATTTTCTTTGACAAAAAAATGTTGTATGCCCATTTAAAGTCATGATGTACCTATATATGGTCATGATGTGATGTCATCATGACCATATTTAGGCATGTCACATGTTTTTTTCAAATACACTTTGACAAACAATATCGAGACGGTAAAAAATTCATAGTTAAACCGGGCTCTCTGTGCGTCGAACGACCGTTGCTGACAAACCCAACTCCACTTCCTGCTGATTGTCTGAATGGATTTTCATTAAAAGCCAACCATTGTGTGTGTGTTGTGGCAGTGCGTTCTCCGTAGAATCCTGTTGACTGTCGGGCTCTGTGGGCTGTGGGTGACCGGCTTCAAGTATAGAGCCAAGAAATATTCAGGCAAAGTTTCGTATAGTGGCTCTATCCAAAACCGTATGTGTTTTGCAAAAGAAGAAAACTTGCCAGTTATATTGTCCCAAGCTTCACAAATACAAAAGGTTTTAGCTCTAATTCATTAAATATAATATACATACAGGGCTCCCTCCCATAGACACATTCCGCTAAGTTGGTCAGTATGTGGGTATCAAATGTAAACATACAGGGCTCCCTCCCATAGACACATTCCGCTAAGTTGGTCAGTATGTGGGTATCAAATGTAAACATACAGGGCTCCCTCCCATAGACAGATTCCGCTAAGTTGGTCAGTATGTGGGTATCAAATGTAAACATGCAGCGCGAGCGACGCTCAGTGTTTGTGCTGTAAAGCGTATATTATGATTAGTCCAGTCAATCTACAACAAAATGATGATGAACGGAATTTTTTCCTGAAATATACACATACCGCCCAACTGCTGTGTGTGGAAATGTATAAAAGCCTGTTGTTGCTATGAGGAAATGGTAAAAGCATATATGGGCGCCCCCGTGCGAACGTAGTTGAAACTAACCAATTGTGTTGGTAACACAATGATCAACGCACACGTCTGCTGTCCCGATCGATCCCACATTAAATAATGTTTTTGTCAAATAGGTAGTTTGTTATATTAGTGGAGTTATTATATAATTGGAAGTTTTGTTAGTCAATTTGTATTATTCAAAATTTAATATCCATAGCCATAAGACATTTTTTAAGATATTAAAAAACCAACAAATATCATACAATCAATCAAAAATACTGTAGGTTTGGTTTTATACAAGAAGTAGCAAATGTTAGGCTGCAACAAGGGTGAAGACAAGATACGTTTATGCTGTATCAGCAATATTAAAATGAAATTGAGTTTTATTTTTCAACTCAGCATGGTCTAAATGAAAAAAACACTTGTTTTTTAAAATGTTTTGGTCAGAGCCGACCAGTGGTGGCACCGGTGGGGATGGGACGGGGCTAGCCGCCCCCATCCTTTGTTTGCACTGGGGTGGGAGCCGCACCATTTGTTGGCATGTCTAGAGCCGCAGATTGTCGGAGCTTTTTTGTTATATATGGTTTAAATTTCAATCGTATAGGCATAAAGTATACTTTATGAAATTTTGAATCAGAATAAGTAAACTAAAAAAAAAGATGATGCGTTTGGATGAAAGTAACAATACATAAACTGTATTCGATTTTGGCGATAATACAACCACAGATACGAATTAAGATCCATGGTACAAACAATTTTGTTTCCTTGAGGTTCTTTATAGGTCTAAACCTCTGCTGGTTATATAAAATAATAATAAATATTGGTCTACCGAATGATTAACAAAGACATATTGCAAATTATCGAATATTAATTAAACACAGGTTGCTAATCAAAATAATAATAATAGTGTAGTTTTATATAGCGCACATATCCATCTAATTTTAATGTAAGATGCTCAGGGTGCTTGATATGTGGATTAGGAACTCCATCAATGACTTTCTTCGCCCCTAAGTGTCCCTTCTCATGGTCCACTATAGGGGCTGTCTGTTCCAGTACACTGGGGTATCCTCCTACTCGCCTCGAAGGATGTACTGGGTTTTTTATAGTGCACACAAACCATTGTATACACTTGGCCTACGGTTTATAGTCCTTATCCGAGAAGACTTGTTCTACCACCAGAACCATAGGCGAGCGTACTGTTCGAACCAGCGCCGGTATTATGGCTATAGCTTGCGGCGCCCCTGCTAACTGCTCGGCCATTCAACTCACCCAAAATAGTAACCCTGATATTTTTTTTAATAGTTTCAAACATTTCCGATCCCTCGTTTTAAAAAGTATCCGTCCCGGTGTATGTTTGTCTTTGTGACTGTGTTTAGTTTATTGATTCAATGTTTACTGTGGGAGGGGTTAGTTATGAACGTATTTTTGGATTGTCTTGCTTGTATTTCTATATTTTTAGAGTTTATATTAGGCCTATATATTTTGAGTCCATCTTGTAAGTGGTGATTTTTTGCTGTTGCCTTGGAAATAAATAGATAAATATATCAGGTAATGCAGAACAGTGTGCTTAACTTTGCGTTGATTGTTGTTTATGAACACGTCTGGTTTGATCCAACTGCGGTCACGCGCTGGCGTTTATATTATTTTAACAAATTTTTCACTACAACAACAGGCTTTTATACGCTTCAACTCAGCAGTTTGGCTATGTGACACAATAAAGCATTGGATGTTAACTCAATAAATATCTTTAAAATTAAAGGTATGCGGTGCGGAAGTCCTTGCCGATTTCCAAGACACTCCATTCCGGACTCTGCAGGAGACTGGAATCCTAGCACTAAATGTAATGTGTGGATTTCTCTATTTGGAGAAAAAAAAAATGCTTTATTTATTTTTTTTTAATATTTCATGGTTTCTAGATGTAAGTCAAATCTAACACAATTTGTTATTCATTGCATTAACATCGTTGTTTATTTTATAGTAGTCTTTATTTGAAGGGAAGATTTTCAGTTGGGTCTTCTAAAACCATTGTCTAAAGAGAGCAAATCTGTAATTGGAACTAACAGATAATGATAAATGTGGTCTTTATTTGCAGACGGTATTTAATTGGAGGGAGACATGTATTTAACAATTATATATAGACTTTAATGTTTTATCTTTAATTTTGATTATGTAAGTGTAAGTATTTTTTTAAATTTTATTTTTAATAATTAAATTTAAATGTTGTGTAAATGATGTTGAAATAGTTATATAATAATAATTATTGATGTATGGCGCCTTGTGTATATTAAAATGAATACACTACACATTTTTCTTCTCAGCATAATATCTCAATCCGAAACGAGCGCTATAAAGGAATACCTTTATGTGAAAGTGAGTGCAATGCATGGTGGGATGCTTGTCGATATGATTTGACTTGTAAAGACAACTGGGCATTGGGCTGGGATTGGTCAGCAGGTAGGCAATACATTGAACTTTCGACCCTATATTTGACATTTTTGACCCTGTATTTGGTTCCTTTGTTGAACCACATAGGCAGAGGTCGGGCAAGCACCAGGGTGGTAATGGATGGTGACCTCGAAGATTATTTGCATCTTTATTTTGCCTGTCTTCCCATCAGTGTCAGTTTGCTATAAAATAAATTTACAAAAAAAAAATGAATAAATAAATTATTAAAATAAATTAATTAATATCAAAAATGCAGAAAAGGGGCTACACTTTTCAGGCGGAAAATGACGCTGCGAGCAGCTCTGCTAGAGATGGATACATTCGTCAAGTAAGATGACGTCATTATTATTATTGTGTTTGATCTTTTTGACCTTTAATTTGACCTGTACTTGAACTTTTTGTGCAGGTGTTAATGTTTGTCCAGCTGGCACAACTTGTCGTACGTTTGAAGATGTTTTTGGTTCTGCAGCCAACATGTGCCATCAGATATGGGCCGGTGCTTTTAATGTAACCGCCGACAACGAACAATGCATGGTCTTCTACTTCAGTGACACAAATCCTAACCGAGAGGTAAGTGAATTACAGTGTACAGAATTAGTGGCAGATTCAAGGGTAAGCCAGCCAGCCAGTCAGTCCAGCTCCCGAATTATAATCAAGTTGAGGTCTGGGAGTGTCATTCCTGGTCATCTATAGGTGCCTAATCATAAATTTTCCTACCATGGTTGGGGCTAAGGTGGTCTAGACTCTCCATTTGTGAAAGTCCCCAGTCCCCCTCTCTGCCACTGACAATCCACATTAAGGGGGACATCTTTTGGGATTGGATGTAGTGTTAAAAGATATCTATTTTTCAATTCTTGGCCTAAAAATGTGTGCCCAAGGTTGTCCCTTTAATAGAGGTGATAATATACAGGTTTTAATAGTTTAAGTTGCTGGTAAATATCTATAAACAATAAAAATGATATGATAGAATTTTGATTTATTTGCATTAGCAAAATTTTATGGAAGTGAGGTTTTTGCCCTACTTTACATGTTAACGTTCCCAAATACTTGCGAAAAAAAATTAATGATATTGTTTGAAGGTTTGCAATGCTAAGTAATGAAGTGTAAAATGGGGCAGTCACTGCATTGTACGACTGTCACACAATGAATCCAACTCCACTCCATGTGAATACTAGACAATGTGGCGCCCTCTGCTGATTGTCGGTGGCAGTCTGATTCTCATTAAAAACAATCTGTTGCGCGTGCGTAGTCACATTGCGTTCTTTATAGAATCGCCTCGGACGACAACCATCAGGTGTAGTGAGTTTCTGGCTTTTAAATGCTTGCGGTAAAAAACTGTTTTTATTGAGAATGTCTCAAAAGATAAAGATAATTTTTTCCAACTTCTTAAAAACTTTCAATCGTTATTTCACTTGTATCATTTTATTTTATCACCAAATTACAATACAAGTGCTGGAAGTCAAGGAGGTCATGAGCCCATAAGGTGGCCCCAGAATCAGGGCTGGAAAAAGTGGGTGACTGAGCAACAGGCGGTTTTTTTTTACACATCACAATTTAATACATACCAGTAATTAAATTTGGTATTTATGCTTGCTCCAGAACTACTACATGTGCTACTGTTCAGCTATAATAGCGTAGATAACATTTGTGACCCAAGCTCACAAACAGGCTGTAAACTCGCACTGCACTGTATTGAGAAACAAGCTTTAATACCCAAAATAGGGCGTAGAGCGTGAATTTTGTGTGAATTGGTTTTTTGTGTAATAAATAAAGTATATCTATTAATCTTACTATTCCTGAGGTTTCAGTGTAAAATTCCAACTGTAAGAGGTAAAATTTAGCCATTTTCGGATGGGAGCTAATGAAAAATGAATAGGAACCTGCCGAAAATATAAGCATTTTTCTCAACACTTGATTTAAGTAAGTTGACAAGATGACAATTATTCAGACGGTCATAACTTTGCTTCCAGATACCCGATTGAGTTCATTTAACTTTTATTTTAAAGTAAACGATATGTTCTATGCCATTATAACAAAACCTCATTTTGGCCTGAGGACTAGTTTACAACCCATTTGTGAGCTTGGGTCACATTTGGTGTTGGATGCATTTGATCAAGATCATTTTATGGTCGGAGGCACAACAATATTTTTTCCGGGTCTGCCCGGAACTAAAATTAAATTACTTTCTTTCAGGTAGCAAGATATTATGCTGAGAGGATGTTGAAGGAAAGTAGCATAGCAACCAATTCAGCTGTTGAGCTCTCTTCTTCCATTTTTATATTTTTGTTTTCTCTAATTGTTTACATACTTCACCATTATCATCTTTGTTATCATGTTGTTTCAAGGACAGAACTGTAGTACAGTTGAATTATGGGTAAATTTTGGTACAGATTTAAAACATTTCATCAGATACACCTTAAAAGATTTTAGAGAAAAGGATTTTACAAGAATCTTGTGTTAGCTTTTTACAGTGGATGCATGCCACAATTTTTTAGGCGAGTCTCAAGTGATGAAATATGTATGTATTGATTCCCCTTAAGTAGAAATTTCTGATGCTATTGCTACTTGAATTCTGCTGCATATTGCTACTTAACACCATAATTCCAAAAATATTTTCAAGCTCAAAATATTTCCATTTGTTCAAAATAATAACATTAATGTTATGCATTGATCACTGTAGCATACCATAGCATTATTATTGTAGTATTCATTTATCATTTTAGCCTGCTACAAAACATTATTTTGATATTTATTGACTCCATTGTAGCATGCTATGACTTTAATAATGTGGTATGCATTGATATTGTAGCATGCTGTAACATTAATACAGTGCTACTTTATTCATTGATTATTGTACCATGGTGTAACATCTTGCTACAAAATTGATTTTGTTATATACTTTGATCATTGAGCATGTTCTATTAATACTAATTTTGTGGCATGTCGTAACAATCAATGTCTTGACATTGCAACATGCTCTTCTTTAATGTTGGTAGTCAGTCACTATCACATTTTAACAGATTCAGTTGTAGTAAAGTAATTAATGATAGTTTTAATGCAAAGCTTGCTCAATAATACTGTAATCCATTGCTGTAAATTTTTACCTTAAGGTTTTGAAGTGAAAGAGGATTTCTATTCCCATTTAAATGTACATGGAGAGTTTAAATAAACCATTAGGCTTAGTACAGACTAGTACGCTTCATACGCAAACGCAAGGGATTTCAATGCAGTTGCAGGCCGTGGCGCGCGAATGTCAAATGCAAGTGATTTAACGCAACTGTAAGTACATGTAGTCTGTCATGTCAAAGCTACAGTAAAACATCTAATTTAGGCCAACTTGCCCATTTTTTCCTGATGTTAGGTCCTTTGTAAAAAGCGCCATATAAATGAAATAAAAAATAAATAAATAGAAAAAATAAATCAAGATTTATTTCAATACAACTTTGTGATGAGACTTGCCTTACTGATATAAGGGAGCTTTCGATTTGTTCGATGACGCGATACTAGAACGGAATCACTCATGCATTATCGTCCTACCAGGCATCCTACGTTCTCTGCTGCATATGTTGAATTGGGGAAATTGCGTCCTGGAATCCACACGATGCGCATATGGCTTTTAGTGAGGTTATTACGTTCTACCTCCTACCATCATAATGCAATCAGAAGCTCCCTATTGGTTGAGTTTAGGCTCATCAATGTCAGTACTTTAATAGTAATTTAATTAGATAGTGTGTGTCTTATTTTAATTGGGTTACAGGAAATAGACTCTGGTAACTTCTGTGGTAGATTCTATCTGGCAACGTGTCTATATTGCTCTAATGTGCAAAAAGTTTTATAATGAATACTTAGCAATAGGAAAAACAGACAATCTGTTTGTTGTTGTTGTTTTTTTTTTTTTTTATCAAATCCCTTCTCCAAAAAGGCATGAAGCTGCTTAAGCTGTATGGAGGCTGAAAAAAAAAACAAGAAACAAAGGAAGTTTTAGGTACTTTTGTGGTTCTTTTTGTGTGATGCATTACACTACGCCCTCTACTGGAGCAATTAGGTTGATAAGCTGATAAGCAATACCACTAACGCACAAATACCATATTGAGATGTAAATTATTTGAGTGGTTTTAATAAACAGAATTTCAGTACTTTTCAGGCAATAAGTTTTTATAGTCTAATGTATTAATATTACTTAACCATGCTTATATATTGACTGGTAACACCCCTATGGC